AGGCTTGAAGCGCAAGAGTAATTCGGCCTTCTTGCTGGATTAGTATCGCGTTCTGTTGTTGAGGCATTGCCTTTCGTACGTGAAGTTCGCGATGCCAAGAAAAAGTGGCACACTCGGTGATGTGGCACGCTCGGTGATAGAATACGTTAAGTCTAATATATAATCTAGAAAGTTATTTAAAAAAAAAAAGTAGACTAGCGAAAGTAGTGAATAACTGGAAGTGATTGATGGAAGTGATGTCGCGTTATCGATAAGGCGGAGGATTTATCCGTTTTTGCGCTGTGTATATCAATGCACCTTAATGTACATTATGGCGCCCGCACCTACGCATTCAGCGCTTGCGTTCGAGCTACTTGCAACTTGCTCTGTAAGTATTCCAAAAACGAGATAGAATCGCAGACCGGCCACTGACAGCCATAGGTCACCCGGGCGCGCGCTGCGACGCTCCATCTCCCTCATGGGCCGGTGCCCCTCCCCATCTTCATGCCAGTTGCGACCCAGGCCTCGCTCAAGGGTCTTACTCCTGACCAACTAGAGGATCAAGGATGTCGTCTTTGCTTGAACAACACATACCATCTGTAAAACTATTTGTCTCGTCGACTGTTCCTAAGACTGACGTGTGGGAGAGGTCTCAAGCCAGGACAGGCGACACTCGACTCAATAGGCGGCGCGCATAAACTGCAGTCATGGCCCCATAACATTCTTACAGGTATCACCCATATACCAGCCCGAACTCGAAGGGTTGAAATTACTAACAGCTGCAGACAGTGGCGGGTAGGTGGATTATGCCACCTTGATCGCAAAGAGAACGCCAGGCTGACGCGGTAAACAGCTTCCAAATGGTTTCACTACTCAAACTTGCCAAAGTCACAGAGGAAGGTGTCCGGTTCCTGAGTCCTCACGATGGTTCGCCCATGTTACTTACCCCGGAACACTCGATATCACTTCAAAACTCCATCGGTAGCGATATCATCATGCAACTCGATGACGTTATTGTCACCACATCTCCCGACCATGCGCGCATGCGGGAAGCAATGGAACGCTCGGTGCGTTGGCTCGACCGCTGCATCAAGGCCCACAAGTATCCAGAAAAGCAAAATTTGTTTTGCATCATACAAGGTGGATTGGATTTGGAGATGCGTAGGGAGTGCACTGTCCAGATGGTAGCACGAGATACTCCTGGAATTGCCATCGGAGGCCTGTCTGGTGGCGAGGAAAAAGAGTCTTACTGCAAAGTTGTCAAGACATGCACAGAGCTGCTTCCCCAGAAGAAACCTCGTTATGTCATGGGCGTAGTATGTCACATTGTCCCGCTTGAGCGAAGCGCCTGCTAACCAGTAACAGGGTTACCCGGAAGATCTGGTAGTGTCCGTGGCTCTCGGTGCAGATATGTTTGACTGTGTGTGGCCAACACGAACCGCTGTATGTTATTTATTTTTCCCCTTCACTCAAGTTACATCACTAAAAGCAGTCAGCGATTTGGAAACGCCATCACATCCCGCGGCTCATTGAACCTCCGAAATGCTATCTATTCAGAAGACTTCAGCCCTATTGAAGAAGACTGCAACTGCACGTGTTGTCGGCCAGCATCAGCCGGTGGTCTCGGTATTACTCGAGCCTACATCTACCATGTTACTGCAAAAGAGACAGCGGGTGCTCATCTTCTTACCATGCACAACGTTTACTATCAGCTGAACCTTATGAAGCTCGTCAGACAAGCTATCATTGAAGACCAATATCCGCAGTTTCTTAAAGACTTTTTCAACAAGCTCTACAATGGGCAGAAGGACAGATACCCTCGATGGGCTGTTGATGCCTTGAGAGGTGTCAATGTCGACCTTCTTAGCAATGATGCTTAGATTTCGGGGGATCCATCAGCTGCATATACTGAGCATCGTTAGTAACGAAAAACTATAGTATTCGACCTGGCTTACTGATAGTTCTTCTACCCAATTCCCAATCACGTTGTTATGCTTCAAACTTCCAAAGAGGGAGCTATGATCCGCTACAGTTGCAGCATTGTATGCTTCACTGTCTACTAGTCAATGTTGATCGTCTAGTAGGTAAGCACAATGTCATAATTGTTATGCGTATACAAGAAAGCAACACTTTGATAGCGAGTTGAAATAGGTCAAAAACCATTTTTTTTGAATATTGTTTCTTTCCAATCGCTATCCTATAGCCCAGAGGTTCTATGCTTCGTATTCGGGCGGAGTCCAGATTTTCGTGCCTCCAAATGCGGGTATCACACGACCCAGCACACCGCTGAATCTTTGGACAAAAGGATGTGAAAGTACGCCTGTGACGTTGTTGAAGATTTTGATGCCCCATTCAGTTTGAGGATTTGCGATCTGAGGAGCACCCGGTATCAGTCTTTGTGCCTTGTCGACATATTGCCTAGTGACGCGTTCATAATTGGCCAGAGCAGAGGGAATATCGTTGGGCGTCTTCGATATTTCGCCTGCAAGAATATAGGCGCCCACTATTCCCGCACCTGTGCCCTGTGGACCTGTCAGCATGTTTGGTTGCATAGTGTGAGGATCAAGCCAATGTGCAGGAGAATGAAACGAGTCACATACCACACCAGAGATTGGACTCGGACAATACGCTGCATCTCCTACCAGAGCGACGTGTCCCTTTACCCAGGTATCCATCTTAACCTGAGCAATCTGCTGCATGTAGAAATCATCTGCCTTTTTCATCTCTCGGATACAGCGTTCTGCCTGGAATCCAGCGTCTGAAAACTCTTTTTCAAACCACGCTTGCTGTTCTTCTCTTGATCCTTTCTTCAGGAGGCGATCAACCTCGTCAAAACGGGAAAGATTAGCATCGGTGACGGCAAGGTATGCTCTCGTCGTACCGTACTGGTCTGGCCGTAGAAGGAACAGGCGGCCGCGCGATGCGTTATACCATTGTGCGTACTGGGTATCGGTTGGATCGCGTGGCATAGTGAACAAGGCGGAATATTGTCCTAGGCGGTACAAATAATCGTCGTTGTTGGGACCGTGACCGAAGACAAGGCGTCGGGTACGTGACATCTGACCATCTGCACCTACCACCAGATCATATGTTGTAGTAGCAGTCTTGTTTTTGAAAGTGACTTCTACTTTTCCGTCTTCTTTCTCTTCGATTGCTGTGATCATTTCGTCAAAAATGAAGGTTATTTTGGGATTGTCTTTCACAGCGTCGTAAACGATACGGGCCATGTCTCCGCGGAGGATCTCATACTCGCTCGTTGCTGCATTCAGTTAGTACTCATTTACCACAGTCTCCCATCAGTGAACCCTCGCATTTAGTAATAGGACGAGGATCTCATCGAGAATTGGACTAACGACCTACCACTCTGTCGTTCTTCTTCTCCTGTTGCCTCAAAAGTTGCTCTCGTTTTGCCATCGCGGTATACAAACTGCATTCCGACCTCGGTTGTATTGTATTCTTTGACCTTGCCCAACAGGCCCATTTTCTTTACGATAGGCAGACATGATGAGCGAAGATCGACAGCCTGGCCACCTAAGCGTGGTTCGGGGCTACGCTCAATGATGATGATTTGTGAGGATGGAAGGAGGCGGTTTAGCCAGTAAGCAAAACATGGCCCTGCAATACCAGAGCCAGATATCAAAACATTGAGGGAGACGGTGGATGGTGAGGGCATTTCTGCGAAGGAACAAGTGGTCTGAAGAAGGGTTAAATGACTGAATGATTGAATTGGGGTGGATATTGTGGATAACGAAGGCAGAGAGGATTCAGCTGAGCAATTTAAGGCTATCGAAGCCCTTAGTCACGGGCGAATGGTTGCACACGCTATCCCACAGATGCCTTCTCGGGACATCAATCACTCCATCTCCGCACGAAACAGCAAGACCGCTTTTAGGGCACAGATCAGGTATTCCCTACTACGGATGTCGTGAATCATTTTCAACCAGATCGATGGCCAGAGGCCAATCTACTGCGTTGGAATGACGTCAGCTAAGTGTACTATACGCAGTATTTAGTGGGTAAGAAAAAAATAGCAACAGGGTTGGATGTGCAACCTGAGTAGTTTTGCTTGGTTGCTCAGCAGTATCGCGCCTGTTACAGTGCCGTTGGGACGTCTGTTACGGAAGTCCGTAGCCCAGCATCGGGGTGTCGGGGCATGGAGAGGCACCGAGCACGGTTGTTGCCGAATTGGAGCAGGACAGTGGGGAGAGGCACTAGGGTGCTGGCGAAATCTGGCCGACACTTTTGCGACTGAATTTGCCTGATGATCGAGTTACACATGTACCATCGGTGAATATAACCATCTATCGTCTTGGCAATCCTTTCAGATGTGTGTGGCAGGGTGTATGAAAGACGCCTTTTCCCAAAGATTTGCCAGTTCAGAGCAACATGAGCGCACCAAGTTCGTCACACCTGTTGCGCAGAGAGATGTTGCGGTGAGCGTCATCAGCAAGACCGTCTGCGCCAGGCTATAGTACGATAGGTGTCCTGAGATTGGGCTAGCAAAGGGGAAATGGGAAACCATTGCAATGCTGCATGCATGCATGAGTAATCAAGGGTTGGGACTGTATGCAAACTGCTGGAAAAGTGTTCTTGATTCGTCAACGCCAGTATTGAAAACATTAAATAGCTAGATAAACATATGATCCCCATGGTACTTGACGTTATCTCTGTACACGGTTGACGTGGCAGCAACCTCAAGCTCGCGCTTAGGAAAGCCCTTGAAAGACTGGGCATAGGTCGCGACCGAATGAGCAATGAGCTACGGCGTGTAAGTAAATCGCTTGTACGTGGCCACTGTGGAAGATGGAAAGAACTTACTTTTGTGTTGACGACCCAGGCTGTGATGTTGACATTGCCGACATCGTCACAAAGCTGGTGGTAGCATGGGTCATACCAGTCCCCTGCCTTGCCGCCAAACATGCCAGCCTCCTCCTCCGTCTTGATTCCTTCAGCGCCAGTCGCAATACCACCGCCTGGAATGCCGTTGCGGATAAATCCGTCATAATCACTGCGGCCATCAAAGGGAATAAAGGTATAGTTCAGGCCCTGATCCTCATACCAGCTGATGTACAAATCGCGAAGCTCCTCCGATCCTCTCGGGTTGACAGCATTCGTGGCATTGTAGATTTGGTAGGCAAAGTTAGGACTGGCCATCATATCGTAGTCCATGAACAGACGAATCTTTTGATTTTCCTCGTCGGAGAGCGAGGCAACATAGTAATCAGAACCGAGCAGACCTTCTTCTTCGCCGGCCCACCATGCAAATCGGACGCAGTTGGAAACATTGAACTTGGTGAGCTGGGAAGCGACCTCGAGGAGAGATATGGTACCCGAGCCATCATCGTTGATACCCGGGCCTTCAGTCACACTATCGCTGTGGGCGCCGAGCATGACGCAATTGTCGGAATCACCTTGAGTTGTCTGGGCGACAATGTTGACAGTTTGGATTTCATTGACCTCGGCATCAATGTAAGCGATGCCATCAACGTGCTTTCCCTGTTCAAGCTTCTTCAAGACTGGCTCTGCTTCCTCTCCAGAGAGACCAAAGGTGGCAATGTGATTGGGCGATGGTGTTCCCAAAGTGCCCGAAACAGGATCCTTTTCATAGTTGTATACGATAGCCGCCACAGCGCCTTTGCGACCAGCGTGCTCGGACTTTGTGCCAAATGGGCATACGCCGCGCTTGATAAAGGCAATGTTGCCCGCCACAGAGTCGGGGAAATCAGATGCCTCGCAGCCTTGGTTATCAACGAGGACGAGATCACCGTGTACGGGCTCCTTGTCCTTTGTTGCTGGGGTCAGGCCCATGGGTGCTGCTGATTTGGGCACGCCATCGCCAATGACCAAGCGCGACTCGAAGACGTTGCCAGACACGGCAGGGAAGGACTGGTTGGAGATGGTGTAATAGTCTCCAAGCTCGAGCAGAGTCTCGTAGATGTATGATAGGGTGCCGAGATGGCCTACAGGGGGGTCAGTCTCATCGTCCTGACATGGACACACACCACGTGAACACGCGTACCAGCGCTACCAATGACTCTAGTCGGATGGTTGTACTCGGCTTCACCAAGTTTGGCAATTTCATACAGCTTCTTCGCGCGCGTCATCAATCTATCGCCACTGATGAGCTCCTGAAGCTCCGTCGAGTTGACTAGCGGCTTAGTCCCCTGGGGATGGCCGAGCAGCGCCTGGTTGCTCGACGACAGCAGTGGGATCTGAAGCGCAGTGGCGCTGGTTACGGCCGCGCACAACGCAAAGCCAGACAGGAAGACCATGATGGGCAAGTGGAGAGGGGCAGCGATGGATGTAGCAGGACGAGGAATGATGGTGACGGTGTTTGTTTGACGGACGGGTCGTATTGTTGCCGTGACGCTAACACGCGCCTGCCCATGACGCCTGTCCCCGTGCACCAGGCCAGGTCACGTACTTAGTACGTCGCACAGGCAGGATTCCTTTTGCAGCGCATTGAGAGTGTCGTGTCGGACGAGGCTGAGCTGGAGATGGAGTAAGCATCTAAACACACTCACTACACGCCATCACCCTGAGTCCAGACTCATGTTTGAGCATGGGGTTTGTTCGCCATGCACGCAGTGACCGCTAACCCCAGACGTCCAGGGCATGTCGATAGGGTAAGCAGGTAATATAGTTAAGCCGGCAAGTATTATACACAGTACATTTGAGGAAGCATGTAATTACATGTCCCTGAGGTGCGTATGTGCTGACAGCATCGCTTGCAACAGGACAGCTACACTACTTATTATTATTATTATTATTACTACGATTGCTGTCCGTGTCGGCATCTACCGGCGCATCGGGGCTAGAGGCAAGGCCTTGTCTGTACTTGGTTACGGCGGGAGATGATCGTCTTTGCGGGGGGATGCAGATGCAAGCGATGACATGGTGGCTGGCCAGAGAGGCAACGCGCCGCAGCCCGCTGCAAAACATAGCATAGCGGCCGTGAGGACGCCCATGCAAACGTCCCGAGGGGCGTGGTTTCGGCGTCAGGACCTGGTAGAGTGGTGTATCAAGGGAAGGGGGGCGGTATTTAGTCGCTTGGTGCACAGCAATGGCAGGGCATATGCCATGAGACGGTGAGAAACAGGGACCAGGCCGGCGCCCCTTGCGACGGTGGCTGGCAGGCCAAGGCGTGTCAAGCAACGCCAGGACACAGCGGACGATGCTTAGTGACGTGTCTGCAGCAATCAAGGCCAGACGGGCAGGGAGAATGGCAGGCCAGAGCCAATGGGTGGGCGCGGGTGCGGGCGCGACGTTGCAGGTTGCAGAGTTTCGGTGTATAATGTGGTGCAGCAGAGTCTGGCTGGCGGACCAAGCATCGAGGCTGTGTGTCCATGTTGCGACGGGCCGCAACGGGCAAACAGGGAAACACCACAGCCATGGCCGCCCGAGATGACGCCGGCGCCCTTTACATGCTCCAGCTCCCCATTGTGTGTGCTTGGTGTTTTGTTCCTTTTTAACTCGTCTGCCCTGACCTGCCCCCCTCGCATGCCAAACACCTCGCACGCCCGCTCATCCTGAACCTGCCGGCCTCAGTGGCTCCGAGCGCTGCAATCGACAAACTACGATACACAATCGACCCCTGCCAATCGTCATTGTCATAAGCCATGGCCCACAGCTCCCGTCCCTCGCGCGACTACCCCCACGGCCACGGCCACGGCCACCGCTCCTCGCGCGACCGGGCATACAGCTCCGACAAGCCTCGTAGTCGACGGCCCTCTGAAGACCATCGTGGCAGGCGGCGCGAGTCGCTGCCGCAGTACAACCACAATGGCCACAAGGTCACAAAGGGCATCCACCCCGAGGGCGAGAGTGGCAGGAGCGGCTTCCACCCCATCAAGTTCCTCGTCATCAGCGGCAAGAGCAGCAGCACCCCGTCCATGCTCGTCAACTTGCTGTGGCCCATTGTCCCCGTCGCCATTGCCCTGGTCAGTGAGCCTCATTCATTGCACACGCAAACCATTGCTCCCAACCTGCCACCCCCTGCTGACTCCGCTCGTAGCACTTTGTAAAGCCGGAATGGCACCTGGCCATCTTCATCACAAACTACATTGCCATGCTGCCTGCTGCCAACATGCTGGGCTTCGCCGGCCAGGAGTTCTCCCGCAAGATGCCAAACAAATCATTTGCCGTTGTGCTCGAGACGACCTTTGGCTCCATTGTCGAGATCATCCTCTTCATGGTTTTGCTCCGAACCTCAAAGGGCGACTCCAACGTTCAGGTCATCAAGGCTGCCATCCTAGGCTCCATTCTTGCCAATCTCTTGCTCTGCTTGGGTTCATGGTACGCACCTCTCCCAGTGCCCCAGTCCTTGTTCCCCCTGTCATCTAACGTCAACATCTAGCTTCATTGCAGGTGGACTCAAACACAACCAGCAGGAGTTCCACGAGGCCATTTCCGAAAACGGTTCTGGCTTGATGCTCGTTGCTGCCAGTAAGCTCATATCCGCACCCACCCACATATTCAGATATGCTAATACACCCCCATAGTGGCTCTTGTCCTCCCTGCTGTCTTCTACTCTTACCTCAACCAAAATCCCGACTACGAAAGCAACGTCGACATTGCATACAACACCCGCCTCATCTCCCGCGGCGTAGCCATCATCTCCATTGTCGGCTACCTTATCTACATTGTATTCCAAACGGTTTCCCACGATGGTCTGCTCCACGAAATCTACGAAGAAGACGATGCAAAGGACAAGGACCGCCACAAGGAGCTCAAGAAGCCCAAGCTCACCATGATGGAAGTCTTGGTAGCCCTCGTCATCTCCTTGGCCTGCGTGTCACTCGTCGCCATCGCCCTGGTCCAGGAAATCCCATACATTGTAGAGCGCGGAGTCAGCGACGCTTTTGTCGGTCTGATTCTGATTCCACTTGTTGAGAAGATTGCCGAGCATCTCCTTGCCGTTGACGAGGCCTATGACAATCAGATCAACATGGCCCTCGCGCACGTTCTCGGCGCCTCAATTCAGACGGCTTTGCTCAATGCTCCCCTAGTCGTCCTGGTTGGCTGGGGTCTTGGCGTTGGCATGGACTACAACTTTTCCATCTTCGATGCCGTTGCACTCGTGCTTGCAGTTCTCACTGTCGGTTCCTTCCTTCGTGACGGCAAGTCCAACTATCTCGAGGGCGTACTTTGCGTCATGACCTACATCATCATCGCTATTTGCGCTTTTTACTTCCCAAATCCAGCCGGTCACGGTGCTTCGGCAGGCCACGGTGCTGAAGGCGGTGCTGAAGGCGGACATTAGGCCTTCATTGTTGAGTGGTTTGAGGATATAGACCACCGCAATATTTGCTTCGATTTGAGATTTACACAGCCATGGAGTTGCGGAGTTGAATCCAGAAGGACTGACCCTCTGTTTCGATTCTTGAAACGAGCGTCTTCGATGTTCTTTCCTTGAACTAACTTCACTTCCCGTTTGTACAGTCTGGTTTGTTCTTTCATACAGCGTACTTAGCGAGCGAATTATATCAATTATCTCTTTGCGTACACAAAACTGGCAATGTCATAATGTTACCAGCATGCATGTGCACAATATACGACTGGCGAACTACAACACATGCCTATAACTATACTGTCAGAATGTGAATATAGCCCTGTATGCGTGGGGGAAGGTAGCGCAGTCGCCATGCCATATCCGCACTAGACCACTACCGCACAGACCACTACCGCACACACTTGCCGAAATATCGACCCCATTCTCCCAACTCTTTCTTCAGCGACAATCCCACTAACCCGACAGCCACCGCCCCTTCCCACGACAACCTCTTTTCCCAGCTCACACAAAAAGTCGCCAAAATGGGTCGCGTCCGAACTAAGACCGTCAAGAAGTCCGCCAAGGTCATCATTGAGCGTTACTACCCTAAGCTGTCTCTGGACTTCGAGACCAACAAGAGGATTTGCGATGAGATTGCCATTATCGCGTCTAAGAGGCTCAGGAACAAGATTGCCGGATACACCACTCATTTGTACGTGCAACTGCGCTGCGAGGGTTTGCTGGGAGCAATTGGCGATTGAGATGCCCGACGGTTCAATGGCAGCCTTTCAGGACTCGCGAAAACCAATGGCTCTCACCACAACCTCCACTGCAGCGCAATCAATAACTTCACCTGTCCAGCCACAATGACTAATAAGTTGTAGGATGAAGCGTATCCAGCGTGGTCCCGTCCGTGGTATCTCATTCAAGCTCCAAGAAGAGGAGCGTGAGCGAAAGGATCAATACGTCCCCGAGATCTCCGCTCTCGACTTCACCCAGAACAGCGAGTCTGGCTCACTCGACGTCGACCAGGAGACCAAGGACCTGCTCAAGAGCATGGGTGTAAGCATTTACCTTGTGCTATTCTTGATTCGAGGCAGTCCACTAACTTCAGTAACAGTTCGACAGCATCCCCACCAACGTCGTCGCTGTCTCTCAGCAACAAGTCGTCGAGCGCCCCCGTCGCTTCAACGACCGCCCAGGCCGCTCGTAGATTCGAATGCGAATCCACGATCCCACGGCCTCCCTTCTTCCTCCCTTCTCGATTTTCTGAAAACATGGTGTCTGGGAAAGGGTTTCTTCTGCCACGATTATGGCAAGGTTTTACGGCTATATACGGCGGCATGATGATCAGGAGTCAATGAAACAAAAAGGTTCTCCCCCCACTAGGTGTCGCTGAGTTCTCGTGTTCTTGGGCACGAGGACGATGCTTGATTGCCATTTTCCCTCCCCTTCCCCTTATGCTTGACGTGACACTAGTGTGATGTTGTGACAAGGTGCGTAGCTTCCTGAAATGAAGTGCCATCAATGAGTGCGACCCGGTGCTGTCAACATGGAGAATTGCTTGGCTTATATTCTATCCATTGCTTGGCTGCTACCGATTTTCTCTCTCCCCGTTCAATGTTTTCCTTTCCGAAGACAGGTATCTTTCTATTCTCATCTCTCGATGAGACAACTCTTAAAAACAGAATTCTTGAAGACATCCCTCACCATTCCTTCTCAACTCCTAACACAGGTTGCATACTCGAGGCAAGTGCTCGACGCATGTCAAGGCCATGCACCAGTATAGCCGTATAGTCGTTCATGCACATCTGACATGGCCGAAACACTCGGCTCGTTTGACTTGGCTGCCTCCTCGGCACCTCCAATTTGAATGTCTCTCCAACCAACGTCTAGCACATCTTGATGTAAGCTACTTGGCCTGCTCATCGACGCATCTTCTGGTCTTCGCTTGATCTCCATGGTCCTTACGGTCGCCAAAGTGGTAGCCCCTGTAGATATTGGTTCTGTTATTGTGTTTGATATAGGTGCTCCTTCATCGGCACCCACAGTAGCCCTAGCAGAAGGCACTGAGGTTGTTACAAGTAGCAAACGGACCCATAGTAGCTTCATGTACAGAGGGCAAATTACCAGTGTCCGTGAGGCTCTGGAAATCGTTCCGCATAGAAGTTCAACCCTTGTTGACAAAAGTTGGTCCAGGGCCGTTTTCCAAGCTCGGGTACCGGCCATGGCAGTCATGCGTACGCTTCGTAGAGCCCATAGTGAATGCTGATGAATTGAGCGTCTGAGAGCCTAAAGCATTGGGCGAAGAAGAAGCGATAGTCTTTACACGGAAGCTGCCTTTGTTGAGAGTCCGATGTCGTCGATGATTGATATATACAACAGTCCCGAGACCGGAAATCAGGATAGTGAAAACAGCAGTCGTTATTCCCGCTATATTAGATGCTGGGAGAACCATGTCGTTCCAAAAGGACTGATCCAACTATACTAGACGGTTTGTCGGAGGAATGGGAGTGTGGAACAGACTCGTTATGAAATTGAGCATGAACAGCTACTGAATCTACTTGTCAATAAGTTATATGATATGATCAACATGAAAATTTAAAAACAAGTCGCTTGCTCAATCTGGTTCTGGTAAAAGATGATAAGCCCTATGTGACATTGTAGCCGACGGGAGGCAGCATATGGCACCGACATTCGATGAGTATGGCAATGTCGAAACAGGAGGTAAAACCCAACACCAATGCCACATCGGAGGAGCATTACAAGTCCACAAGCAGCATCTTGGAAATATTTTACTTGATATTGGGGTAAGTTTGGTTCCAAGATTGAGTCAATATCGTTTCCACTACTTCCTTGCCAATGCATGCACACCATATCAATCCACCAGAACTGATACTACAAAATTGAGTTACTACTCATGTCTGCAGTAAGTAAAGTCCTGTTCCTCAGCAACTCTGTTCCCATTTGATCTTTTACCGCTAATGCAAGTTTTTATTGGATTTTGCAAACGGAAGCTGAACGGGATGTAGATGTGATGAGTTTAATTAAAATAGCTATATTTGATACAATATCATTATAAGAAACTAGAAATGAGTTGGCATGTTTTATACATGTAGTCTTGCTTGAATGTATTTACTGAGTAGTGACATGGCGCTGACTTGTATCAACAATACTGTCTGTCTAGTTGTTTAGTCAGCTGGTTACCTGCTACATCCGTGAATCCTCGGATACCCTTACTGTAAACGGCTTTATGTGTCGCATCCTCATATTCACGCGAAGGAATCGTAGCAGGTGAATCGACAGTGCGTCGGATCGTCCATATCCTGAGTTCTATACAGCATATCCCAATCTCAAGAATTAGACGCTCTAATAGTATGATGCTCGCAAATGAATTTTGTGGGTTGCTTCTCGACAGAGACGTCTGGAAGAGGTAGATCCGTGCCACAGTATGTGAGACGGTCTTAACACCCACAGCTGCCTTCTAGGTCATTGTCTGTTTGAATCCCAACAAATGTTGTGGTTTTGTCTCTGTGGTTGCAATGACATGAACAGTTGACGAGAAGAATGGAATATTGATCGCCGAGAGTGATAAGTATGTCAACTCAGGCGATCCTGGTCAAGATACCGCTCACAGGCTTGTGCATTCAAGCGCTCTCTGCGTGGCAACATGTTTCGGTGGTTGGTGAAGTGAAACGACAGCAGGGAAAACACCAAAACATATAATGAAGTTATCCGTGACACTGAGCATGACAAGATAGTAAAGAAAGGAATACTTCTTCTGGCGTGTCGTGGCGCTCGCGCCAAAACTTTGCCCTAGGCCGTTTACAACCATGTCGTTTGGACCACGATTTGGCTGGGGTGACGGCACGTCACGTGCAGCTCCAATGCTCTGCCAAGCAGACCCCTAGCAGCGCTAGCTACGCGAGCGTGAATGTTTTCACCTACACTCTTGTTCTGACAACCCCAACCACCCCGCAGCACTCGGCCTCAACCGCAAACATCTATCTCAACCGTGGCCGGCCCGTTTCTGGACCTTTCTTCTCTGTGATTACATACTGACTTGCAAGTGTTCAAGTTACCCCATTCGGTATATCAGGTCATCTGTCGCGCTTGGATCAACATGTCACCTGCTCCAATCGCCCAGACTGCCAGTACCTTGCCCTCGTCGCCACCACAGCAGCACCTCACTCCCAACTGTGAGTCAATGTTTACTCGAAACATGTCCGGTTAAGATCTAACGCTGTGTACAGCGACACCTATCCCTGCTTCCAAACACTTTGATGACATATTCCACGCCAAGTTCATGAACATTATCCAGGAATGGAAGAATGACCCCTCTCGTGGCCAACTTACCCAAAAGGATCGCAAGACTTTCATCGAGACTGCGTTTTCCGAAACTGACGAGCTCTACTTTGGCCAACGCGTAATGTCCGACAATGACATTAAGCTTCGCGCTCTGACCAAAGTCTTCTACAAGGTATTAGCCGAAGAGCCCTGGTCTGAAGACTGGATACGCGCTCCGGATGTTGAGCGCAAGCTTTCCAAGTTTGAGATGCACGAGGACTCGGTTGCACTTGCAAAAAAATACGGCTTTACCACTCCGCGCGAGGCTGTTAAGGCTGCACGCGAAGCCAGTGTCAAGAATGCCGATATCCTCAAGGAGGCGCAAAAAGAAGGAAAGACGGTCAAAGATCTCAAGCTCGACCGTGGCCCGTTTGACGACATTGAGATTGTGTACATTGCCGGCACAGTCTCATCATCAGCAACAAGCAAGATTGATCGCAATAGCATCTACCCCGTCTCAGTATCCTCAGTCGCCAATGTTCTTCAGAACCATATTTGTCGGGACATGGTGCGGCCTTACTCGATGGCTGAGCGCTTTGTCAACTGCACTGACACGAGGGGTCTTGAGGAAATGCGACGTTTTGCTTGCAACGTGTGCGACTTTTGTCCCCACCTCCTTGATAATGATAACGTTAGTCTGCTAGTAGTACTCCTCATTCTTTCACGGTCGGATTGCTGTCGCCGTTTTGAGGCCAATGGCATCCGTATTGAGGGCTCGACCATCAGCCATCGTAAGGCCGAATGTATGAAGAACAAGATGGGATGGAGGACCAGCGAGGACAAGAAACCCTACGACAACTTTGCTCAGGAGTTCCAGACACGAGTCAAAAATGCCTGCTTCCCAGCTCCTAGAGCTCAGCGCATTGGCGGCCGGAAGCCGGCGCGTACTTCTTCCACTCCTACAGCCACTCCCATCTACCTCCACAGTCCAGTCGGCTACATGGCACCTCCCCACGCCCATCAACACCACGCAAACGCCGGCATCAACGTTCCTGCTCCACCGCCCTACAATGGATTCTCACAGCCAGCGCCCAACACGATGAAGATGCAGCAGCCTTTCGCATCGCCTGGTGGTAGTAATGCAGAGCCCATGGATCTTTCTTAGATGCATCAGCAGCTTTTGCATATAGGCACCACCCCTTCTCCTTGGACTGTCTTACTGCATCGATATGGCGTCTTCCTGGTAGTTTGTAGATTCTTCAAAAGGGACATTCAAATGGCGTTTGGCGGTTGAAGCGTGGTTGAGCATTCGTGGCGGTGGCATTATGCAAGCTCTGGTCTGACTTGAGCCACTTTGATGTACAATAGCCAAATCTGCGCCTTTCACGGCTTTGTAATGTAAATCTATTAAACAGCTTGGCCTCGTTGTAAGTGCATGGCAGGACGGTGGTTTAATTGTGATTGCCGTGTCCAAGTTGCGAACCATGGCAGAGTGTGGACCTAGTCAAGAAGGTGCAGGTACACTGGGAAGATCAGCTCTAGTGCCCACCAACCGAGTTCTAGACATCATGTGTGCTTTTTGGCGTATCGTTTGGCCCTACTCCAGTCGTCGACTAAGTTCGGTTGCCAAGCCAAGGGGTCGTTGGTGCTCGACGCAGAATGATAATCGGTTGACCGGCCCCTCACTCACCAAGTCGGTAGGTAGTGAGTAGGCTGCAATCATGGAGCTCACCGGCTTTGACCTCTTTGCCTTGTTTCTTTGTTCAAGCATCTTCGGCTTGCTCGTGTCGGTATGGTCCAAGGCATGTCGCCCACAACATGTTGACTTTTATGTTTGTATACTGACACTCTCAGTCTGAGCTCATCAGTGGGCGCGAGATGACGCTTGTCGTAGCAGTGTTTGTGGCGGTCGTGACAATGCTATTCACGCAGTTTTCCACAAGCAAAGTGCTGGCTGACTTCCTGTCCAAAGACGTCAGCAGCATTCACAAGAAGCAGCTCGAGGACCTGACAGAAGCCCATGGCCGCCACACAGCTGGACTGAAGAGCGAGCATTACGGCGCACATGTGCGGCTACTGAATAAGATCAACGATGCAAACGCACGGTTCGATCGGATTTACCACGAGTATGAGCAAATGTCGACAAGGTATCAAGAGCAGATGCGCAACATGCAAGAGAAGGAGGACCGAATTCAGTATCTCGAATCAAAGCTTGGGGAATTCGGGCAGAGCAGGACTAATCTTGCTCGGGTTCCTTTGTCTGCTCCGGCGCCGCAAATCAGCTTTATGAAACCACCACGTCGCCAAAGATTCAATGAGGGAAGCCGATGGCCTCCTTCCAGGGGCCTGCTTCCCAGGGTTGTCGAAGCTGAGAACGAGTAGTTTCTGCTGCGCATAGTGCTGGGAAGGAATCTAGGGGGAGACGTGATAGATTCTGCACCTTGCAGTTTCCGGATGAGTATTACCATGCATCATTTTGAGGTTGTTTCAACATGGCCATAAGTGGAACATGGATTCGCCATTGAAGAGGCAAATATGGATGAGGAATAAACAAGGGTTAGGTTAGGCCGACTGAAGCAAGTGAAAAAGGCATAGCAAGGTTGTGGCTTCCGTTTTGGGCAGACTTGGGCTTGTTGTTCAACGAGCAGGCGCGATGGGCACATGGACTTGGATCGTGGCTTCCTCACCAGTGCGATACGTGAGGCGTAGTGGATACATGGTGCTATACATGCTTACATACTACTTACTGGCCCTCTGCTTCACCTGTGCCAGGGCTTGAAACGTGTTGCTTTCTGTGAGCGAACACTGATTGCTGTTGTGACCAAAGTCATTCTACCAAGCATTTTTCTCGTGGATGCACACACAGCACCAGGGATCCCATGTCCAAGTCTACACATAGACTTGGCTCAAAGTGAGTAAAACCGTTTCCGCCCCATGTTCGCACCCGCCGTGGCTTGCAGGCAGACTGACGAGTGCATTGCAGCCGCTATCTCCAAAGTCACACACTGGAATCATGTCCACCAGCCCCTGATACAGGCTCATAGACGTCATGGCGTGTCGCTGGAAGCATTGCTAGTGTCTATGGATGCAGGAACAGATGCTCGGGGCTTGTTCGCTCGCTCGCTCGCTCGCTTACTAGGCGCAGGCGGGACTTGGTCTGGCCTGGGTTGCAGGGAGGGCGACGCGACCTTGTTCTTCCGTCATAGCGCCCGTTGCTTCTTCCACACCACCAGACATTTGCCAGAGAGACGGGCCTCGACGACGCCAACGGGGCAATCCGGGTCCTGCGACACGGCCTCCCAGTGCCAGGATGCAGAGCCAACGACATTCAAGCCCCGCTGCAGCGCCATCCCCGCCGCGGCCAACAAGGCAAACGACAACAAACAATGACGCGAACCTCCTTTCACTCCCGCTGAAGCGCCGCTCCCTGCAAACAGCCACCACCACCACCAACATGCCGCTCCCCCAGCCGCAGCCGCAGCCGCACTCGCCCGCCGCCCTCAACCCCACCCCACCCCGCCGTGCGCCCTCGACGCCCAACTTCAAGGCTACCCCCTCGATCCAACGCAGCCCCAGCGTAGCCAGCTTCCGCTCCTCGACGCCAGGCCTTACCCGGAAGTCGTCCACTTCCTCCCTACGCGGCGACGCCCCTCGGGCTTCTGTCTCGCGCCGCGCGTCCTTTAACCCCATGATGCAGTCGCCAATGCCAAAGAGCCCGCTGGCCACGTCGTGTCACCAAGATAAGCCGCCGCTGCGTGCCTGTGACGTTGCCCTCGACTACTTTAAAAAGGAATTGGCCCGTCACGAGGGCATCACCGGCGCCGTCAACGCGGGCACAGTCGTCATTGTGCACGACCAATGCTACGGCCACCGCTTCTCCAGGCCCAAGACGGCCAAGAGTACCCTCAGCCTCATCATGGAGCGGCCAGAGAGGATCTTGGCCAGTGTCTTGGGCATATCGACAGCCTATGTCCGGCTAGGAGAGCGACATGCAGACGGCAGCCACCCACCCCATCCACACCACAGCCCTCCGGACCGCGTCCCATTCAAGATCCGCAAGACCTCACGCGCTGTCGACATCACATCGCCTGTCGTTACAAACGTACACGGTATAAAGTGGATGAATGAGCTCAAGTCCTTGTGCGACGACGCAGAGAGGAAGTTGGCCTCGACAGGCAAGGAGCTGGCTCGGGATTCGCATGCGGTTTCAGGGCAGGCGTCGAAGAAGGAGTTGCATGCTGGAGATCTTTACCTATGTCCCGAGTCCTTGAATGCCTTTCAGGGTGCACTCGGGGGTGTCCTGGATGCTGTTGATGCCGTCTTCCAGGGTACAAGCTCAGGCGAGGGGCCTTCACGGGCTTTTGTCTGCATTCGCCCTCCAGGCCACCATTGCTCTGACGACTTCCCCTCTGGTTTCTGCTGGATCAATAATGTACATGTCGGTATTGAGCACGCCATAATGACGTACAACCTCACTCACGCTGCCATCATCGACTTTGACCTACACCATGGAGACGGGTCACAGGCAATTGCCTGGGCCCGAAACAAAAAGGTACAAAACATGTCCAAGAATACACCCAACTGGAAGAAGACATCCATTGGCTACTTCAGCTTGCACGATATCAACTCCTATCCCTGTGAAGACGGTGATGACGACAAGGTCCAGGCCGCCAGCTTGTGTATCGATAACGCACACGGCCAGTCTATCTGGAACGTGCATTTGCAGCCCTGGAAGACTGTAGAACAGTTCTGGGCCATCTACGAAGAAAAGTACATGGTACTGCTCGAAAAGACGCGGCAGTATCTCAGGCATCACACCAACCGTCTACGAACTTCACCGAACCATCCGGCACCCAAGGCTGCTATCTTCCTGTCTGCTGGGTTCGACGCAAGCGAATGGGAGACTGCAGGCATGCAGCGTCATTCTGTCAACGTACCTACTGAATTCTACGCCCGATTTACTCGTGATGTTGTCCGTCTGGCTGAGGAGGAGGGCACATCCGTCCAAGGCCGCGTCATCTCCGTTCTCGAAGGTGGTTATAGCGACCGAGCACTCACTAGTGGAGTCATGAGCCATCTCAGTGGTCTTGTAGATGGCCAAGTCTGGACCGATGCCAAGCTCGCAACAGGCCTTGCGTCCTCTGTGCGCGAACGACTTAGTACCCTCAGCGTCGACGATCAGCATGTCTTGATGCAGTCTGTAGAGACGGAAGCTACACCTCTAGGGTATGATCCTTTCTGGTGGCACTCGACCCATCTTACAGAACTCGAAAATCTTGTCAATCCCGCTCCCTTGGCCGTTCCAAAGAAGCCGCCCCCTGGCCCTAATGCTCACTTCTCATCGCCTACGCAGTCTTTTGTTGCCAAAGTCGTTGATCCCTCCAAGCTTACCCGTAACCTCTCTGCCAAATATGCCTCTAGCCCCTCGAGAGCGCCCACACCTCCCCCACCAGAGGTTGACTGGGCCACTGCTGCCCAAGCTCTCAGCAGTCTGTTGATTCCCACTGATCGGCAGACGCGTAGCCACAAGCCAGAAGACCTGATGGAAGTAAAAGCAAAGAAAGAGAAACCAGCTCCGTCAGCACTGACGTCTGTACATGTGGACAAGTCAGGGCGGCAGTTGCGTGGTCGCAAAGCTGCACCTTCATACGTTGAGCCTAGCTCGGGAGACGAGAAGTCGCATCACAAGGAGTCTCGAGCGAATAGGAGGCAAACCATTGCTGACTTCGCGCCAGCCAGCTCTGAGGCTCCACCAGTGCCATCTGCCTCGCGTCGTATGAGTATTGCCTCGAGCGTATCTTCAATAGGAGACCGTAGAAGTTCGAGTCGTGAGCCCAATGTAGCAACGAGCAGAAGAGCTGCAGCTCCCTCAGCGGCACCCGTCAATGAGGTTGGTCTGAAGAAAGTACGGGGCCAGACAGCAGCGGCTGCAGCTCGTGCTCCTCAGCGTCCTTCTGCACCACGCGCGCAATCAAACTACCCCAGCACAAATGTCGCACTCAAGGGCAAGGAGAACGATGATGTCGAGGCACTGACTTCTGGTTTGAAACGCATTACACTGAAAATGCCGTCAAAGGAGGAGCATGACGCTCGTGAAAAAGAGAGAGAAGAAAAGCTCAAGGCTGCAGAAGCTCCAAAGAAGACCGGGACACGAAAAACGCCAGCGGCTCGCGCAGCTCCTGCCAAGCCCGCAGCGAAAGCAACGGGCACTGCTAAAAAAGGCACAGGGCGGACAGTAAAATCTTCCAAGGTCACCTCGCCCCAGGAATCAAAGGCACCTTCACCTGTACCTGACAACCCCTATGTGCAAGCTGCTGCTGCCGCGACTCTGCAGCAACCTCAGCCGGTTTCATCTCAGCATATATCTGGACTTGTGCAAAACGGTAGCCTACAGTCTCCCGATGAAAGCCAAGGTCCCGATGGGGCTTTGGGAGTCGACCGACGAATTTCTGGTGGAATCGTGCAGCCACCGACGGAGTTACACGACATGGCCATAACCCCAGAGCAGATCCGTGAGCACCTGCCAATGCCATCGTTTGTTACGGTGACGGAACCATTAACAAACACTTCTCCACCTTCTCGCGCCGACACTCCACCGCCTCCGCCGCCAACAAATATGCCTCAGTTTGTCAATTACACGAGTGAGAGCTTTGGTACCGCACCGAGTTTTGCAGCGCCATCAAATGTCTCTGACCCACAAGCGTCAGCAACTCTGCAGTGGGTGGCCAACACACACGCCGAGACTACGGACATGACTGCGATGGCACCCATGTCGCCTCCAAGCAAGCGGAGTGACCTTCCCGTCTTCACGGCGAATGGCGCGATACCTTTTGCATCGAGCTCTGGTGGATTAGGGCAAACAGGTGCGGACACAGTGGCCAAGAAGGAATAGGGTGCTAGATGGGCGCGTTCGCTAAAGCACTTGTCGACGTGTTCCACGTACCCTTGTTTGGACTTGATGGATGAGTTTGTTCTTGTTTTTGTTATGCGTTTGTGTTCAAGATTAGAGCGATTGCAATTTAGAAAGGGTTTATTGCCCAGTTACGCATGTCGGATGCTTGTTTCTGTCTGATCATGGCTGGCTGGGTGTTTGCTGGTGAATAGCGGGGGATTCTGTTTTTTGTTCCTTTCTGTAACGGGCAAGCGAATCGGGTCAAGAGCCGCAGTGAGGTGGATCTGAGGGTCCAAGGGCTGATGAGTCGGGCCTTCTTTTGATTTAAGCCTCGAGGTAGCGATGGCTTAGCGTGGGACTTTTGTAGAGTATTGTCGGGGTAGTGTTTGGTGGTGGTTTGTAGTAGTTGCCCAGGCTTGTGCGCACGTAGAAGATACCCCCAGTCTGACCATTGGGCAGTGGTCAGCGCCGATGGTGCAATTTTGTCCAATGGGAACATTCTATTATTCACGCCATGGCTGTGTATGTGGTTGGATTATATTAATGTGTTGGATCACCAGACGAATTTTCCGCCCTCTCGTCTACTGGTGATTGGCCTTCCGCGGTACACGCTCGTATGTATTGTCGAAAAGCATGTTGGGCTATCTTGGCTAAGCGCCCAAGTGTCCATGCCGTACTCATGTGGTACTCGTGCAGTATTCGTATTACGCGGGCAGTGACCTGACGGCAATGGCTGCAGTCCCCGCATTCCAAAGGTTGCAAGGGTTTGTATGTGTGGGTGGGTGTCTACCAATCATGGCTGGGAATCTTTACCCTTCTCATAAGAGACAGGGATGGCCGGCATGGGCCGGGGGGCCTTTTGGGCAACCCAACGCGCGACATGCAGCCTGCATGGCTCCGTTAGCGTACGTGTGTGACGTACGTTTGGGTTTTGGCCACTAGTCTCCCATTGCCCCATGCCCATGCCTGTGGTGACCATGTGCACGAGACGAGACGAAGACAAGTCGTGGTGGGCGGAGGGGAGAGGGGGAACACTGTCTTGCTCGTCTTTCTTTTCTTTTCTTTTCTTCTTCTCTTTTCGCCCTCTCCACTTCTCCCATCATTGCTGAATTTTGTTGTTTTATTATTTCCGGGTTGTTTTCCTGTTTGGCTGTGCTGCCGTGGGCTGACGTGCTTTGGGTGCAAGGCAAGGGCAAAAGGGTAAAGCGGGTACTCTTCTTTTGTTAGGAAGGAACGAGGCAAGCGAGCGTGGCGTAGACCGTATGTACCTATGCGTTTCGTCCCAAGCAGGTACATTCCGCCTCTTTATTTACTAGCCCTTCTTACCTTCTGCTGTCCATTTCTTCTCCCCTCCCCTCTCTTCCCCTCTTACTACCTCTTCGCCGCCTTCGTGCCACTCCCCCTCCTTCCACACTCTGCCGCGGTGATATAGCACTGTCAAGTCTGCCTCGAGTCTCCATTGGCTCGCAATCAACGTCGGCATTCCCCCCACCATCAGCTGTTATGGCGTCATCCGCGCCCCCAAGCAATGGCTCAAGCCGCAGCAGCCTAAATCCCTTTGCAAAGCGCGATGAGCATTCCTCCCAGGCTATACTCCTCTACAAAATCACCACATCGCTCAGCTACCTGCTCCTCGTCATAACAACCTTCTACTACACGTTCCATGCCCCGAGTGGTCACGGCGCCCACCGCTTCTGGAAGAATAACATCCCCACGCCATTTGCACAGAGCAGCCTCTTCACGTCGATATACTGGCTGATTCTATTTGCCGTGCAGCTCGTGTATGCCTACGCCCTGTACATGAGCGACACGGTATACGTGACCGCCGCAGCAAATATTGGCTCCCACTTTATTGCCAACAACTTGCTGCTCTTTGGCTTTGTCAATCTATTTGTCCGCAGCCACTTTTGGCTCGCAGAGGTGCTGCTCGTCATCAACTTTTTCAATCTAACTTTTGCCTACTTCCGACACAGCACCACGCCCCGCGCCATCCATATTGGCATCGTCAGCGGCCCACTTGCATGGAACTTTGTCGCCCTCGACTGGTGTGGTGCCATTGCCCTGCACACAAACCATGAGGCTTTCCGCATTGTTTGCAATCTCTTCATCTGGGGGTGGCTTGCCTTTGGCCTGTTCTTCCTTGTAGCCTACAAGGACTACACCATGGGATTTGCCCTGTCGCTTCTGGCGTTTTGTACGTCCCTTTTCCTTTCCCTTCGTCCTGCATGAAAAAACATATGAAAAAAAGAAATACGCTAACATTGTCCCCATGTAGCAACGGGAGTGGGTCAGTTTCTCACTCGCCCACATATTCTGCAATTGCAGTGGATCTTTGCTTTTACTATTGGCGGTCTCTTGTTCGTGCTCAGTCTTGCCGTCGGCGTGCCGGGTCTGCTGGGCCGCGATCCTTTCCCACGCGGCCACGTGGTCAGCGAGGATAGGGAGAGGGCACCACTGCTGGCTGATGACTGAAGAGCAGACAAGGGCGGGGTTCATGGCTGTTGAGCGTGATAATGATCGCTTTGGGCGTGCTTCCTTTCCAACAAGGTGTAAGTTTGCGGTGGAGGATTGAGTCACACTACGTTAGTGTGCATTTCTTTTGATAGCTTGTTATTTCTCCTATCCCATGGTTCAAGCATGCTCTTCTGGTACGTGGTGGACCCGATGAAATGGCAAGTCATGCCTGACTGGTAGGTGTATTATTACTCTATGTACACACTCCGCTCTGTAAATTGTTCAAAGCAGCAAGTCTTGATTTCCATCATTGACCCCTGGACTAATCACCATATGCTGCGGCTCATTCTGATTAACTACCCATCCCCCTCCAATCCCCCCGACTGGATCCGCAGTGATTGGGCTTCCGCCAAATGAGCTCTGTCGGCCCACACTTGCAAAATACATGTCGGCATCATTCACGGCACCCGCCATGCCGTTGCCGTTGCTGGGGCTCAGACTGCCATTGCCATTCGTCGTCACGTCCAGCTTAGTCCGCTCCGCCGCAGAGCGCTCCCGGGCTTGCTGAGCTGCCTTGAACGTTGGCAGCTCTTCCTTTTGCAACGCGGGCGAATCCTGTAGTTTTCGTGGCCGCGCGCTGCGGAACACTTGGTTTACTGGCTTCAGGTACACAGTTGCCAATGTCCCTACATTAAGGCACATTTCCTCCAAAGTGCCAGGGTCCAATTTCTCAGACTCTTCAGCTGTAATCGGAGGCTTCTCCCCCATGACCACCTTTTTCGCTTCCTCGGGTGCTGAAGAAAGAAGACGCCAATACATATAGCCTCGGTCCCGTAAGTCGGGATTGTCCGTTTCTTCCGTTGCCCACTTGAGCACCTTGGGCACGATGGCCGACCCTCGAGTAGGTCTCTGGATGAACAGCTTGACTGTGGCCGTAAGAAGAGCCAACTGCACTTCGTGTGTTTCTTCTTGGAATGTATCCAAGAAATCCTCAAGAAGAACATCAGAGTCCTCGATTCGGTCTGCATACTCACCAATCACCCAGATCATGGCCGCCTTTGCTTCGGGTTCATCAAGTGAGTCGAGGTTCTCGCATAATGTCGAGATGATGGACTCATACTGATTGGGATATTTGCGGAAGATGTTCCGGATAACGACCGTCGCTTCTTGCACAATGTACGATACCTTTGTACTGACGAGTGAGAGAAGAGTGCTGATGCAGAGCTGGGCTGCTGGAGCGATCTTAATGGCGAGCTTGCCAATAGCACGGACGGATTTTCGGACAAAATCAACGTCAATTTCAGTGGCATATCTAGTTGTTGTTAGTTGAGTAGGTCAAGGAAAGTTGAAGGGCAGAAACTCACTCTGCCAGCTCAGTCAACACCTCCTTGATGTTGCGCTCAGTGGCCAGCATGAAGATGAGCTCGAGCTTGGTGACCTTGACATAAATGGGGTCGTTGTATTTACAGAAGAAAACGCGGATATCGTTGCGCAAAACCTCCGGTCGACGTTGTAGGATAAGAAGTGCATTGCGAAGGGCCAGGTACTGAATCTCCGGGCCTTTGGAAAGAAGGGTGACTAGCGGTGGGGAAAGCTTGTTACATAAAGAAGTGATGACCTTTTGGTCGGATATATAGTTCATTAAGTAAAGGATAACGCGGATGCAGGTAAGAACGACGGCGGAATTCGAATGTGAAAGGCGAGGAGATATGCGTTCGGCGAGGATAGCGGCTTCGCTGTTGTCTTGAGGAACATAGTTCATCATGGCTTCAAGGATATATGTCTGGCCCCATTCAGAGCAGTCTGGCAAGATGGAGACAATCTTGGAGGCGCTAGCATAGTCGATGGTGAGCTTGATGTTCTCGCTTCGTTCCCAAATATCCATGAGGCTGGCGAGTGCACTCGACACTACGGTGGGGTTCTCGTCCCTCAACATGCCATTGAGCTTATCGATGAGGTCCGACTGCTCGACCAGATGTCGGTCGTGGTCGTAGAGTTTAGCGACGCAAAAGGCGGCGGTTTTTCGCACATAAGGGTCGGCGTCTTTGAGAAGGTTCTTTAGGTGTGGAACAGTGGCTTCGACAAATTCGCGAACATGCACGTAGGACATTGTGCGTAGGGCAAGGGCGCGCACGAGGGGGTTACTGTCGTTCATGTCCTCCTGTATGATGGGCAATGCCTTGAGGGCAATGTCAGGTTTTATCCTGGCATAATTGACCAAATACAGAAAGCACCTGCGTCTTCGTCAGCAGGGTACATGCAGCAAATTCAGAAGGTTACGCACATCTTCTTGATTTCCAGGCTAGGTATATGCATGCAGCCAACGATGTCTGGGAAGAGGGCGACCATGTCGTTGTTGCTCATGGTCATGTTTGCGACAATCTTCTTGAGGGCCGTCTTCTTTGCCGAGAAGTTCTTGTCCTTCTTGCCGCCGCTGTTGAGCTCGAGGCGGAGTTCGGCGACCTTGCCCTGTGGAACGGGTGATGGGTGTAAGCGTAGGCTATCGAGAGCGTAGGGGAGAAACATGGTGGAGGGATGGACAGAAGACGTACCCTCGCGAAGAGCTTTGCATCCTGGCCGCCCTGGCTCATGGTGGGCTAGTTATCCTGATATCTGCCTGGCCGTTGCGCAATCAACAAATGGACCCTCGCCCAGCTGGCGCCCCTCTCTGTTGGTGGATGCGGGTGGTGGTAATGCGGGGTCTTGAGAGATTAGCTTATTCGCTCGTGTGTCGGACGTGGATGGCGTAGCGCATGTCGTAGCGAGGGTGGCAGAGGGATTGGGGCGGGCGTCCGGGGGATTGGGAGACGGGGGTTCGGACGAGTGGTGACTTTTATGGATGGAGACACGCCCGGCGGCGGTCAACACGGAGGAGGGGACGTGCATCCCTGCCAAGCACTCCCGCACTTCGTCTCCACCTACGGCGCGCTCCGCACCACCGCAGCCGCAATACCATCACCACCGCCGCCACCATCCGCGTCTTGAAGCCACAGCCACAGCCAGGCACACATCTACGCCCATAACCACCCGTCCACTCCTCGAGTACAAATGGCTGCTGCCCCGCCTCCACCCCCACAATGGGTCGTCGACCTCAACTCGACACCCGCATCCAAGCCCAAGAATCCCGCTCTCATCGACCCGCCTGGCTACACGGCCTCGCTGACCAAGAAGGAGCGTTCCCAGGCCTCCAAAAATCAGCGCGTGCCTCCGACCGCAGACGAGATGGACACGCTCAAGATGAAAAAGGCCTGGGAGGTTGCCATTGCCCCCGCTAAGCAGCTGCCCATGAATGCCTTTGGTACTTATTTCCGCCTTCCATTACACCTCCACCTTCACTAACTAGGCAAACAGGCATGTACATGACTGGAAACACGCTCCAAATCTTCTCCGTCTTCATGGTATTCACCCTCTTCAAGACGCCCGTCCTCGCTGTCCTTGGCCTCCAACGCACCTTTGCCCCATACCAAACCCCCGGCACCGCCGGCCGCCTGCTCGGAGTCAAACTCGTCTACATTGCCTGCAATCTGCTCATGTTAGCCCTCGGAATCTGGAAGGTCAATGCAATGGGTCTGCTGCCTACGACGCGGTCAGATTGGCTGGCATGGGAAAGCGAAAGAACATGGTCAGAAAGAGCTGTGCCCCAGGAATGGCTGTAGCCTTTTTTATTCCACTTGGAATACACAAATTGAACATATGAAGCTCTCTGTGTCCATGGCCTCTACAAACCGATCTTCTGTTAATCCGTTCCTTTCTCCTTGATTCTGATCGTCTCTTTGCTTTTTTTCACAACCGCCTAATCCCTAGTCTTCGTCTCCACATTTTCCACACCAACAACAGCAACTGACCCATCGTCCCTAACGACCTTTGTCACTTCCTTCTGACTCCTCAATTTGAGAACTAAAGGGTTTCGCACTGCACACTCGAGTTCTCCGGCTGTCGTCAAATCTGCATGGAGCAGCCTCATGATGTCTCTCGGCATCGTTTCGGGACCAACATGTCGCATGTCTTGCGCTATGCCTACTAGTGACCTTTGTAAGCCTTGTATGTCCATATCTCCTTCGTAATCAGCTGTAGTCATGCTCTTAATCTGAGCTAGAAGAAGGTTTTGCTCGCCTTGTTTTTCTCGGACTCGACCACGAACGTCCCGTTTGGAACGTCTAGATGGGGCGGCGTCGCTCTGCTTGATCATGATTTCTCCCAAGACCACCAGCACGCCTCTCACATCCAGGGCTGTATCTTTTGCCGCTGCTGATGCACAATCTGAAAAATTAATCAGTTGCACATCCGGGTACCCACGATACCGATGGTGCATGTACACCGGGTACAAGCTCAACATGACATTGGACGCCTCGATCCTGCCATGCACCAGGCCATGCTCATGCAAGAAATTGACCGCCTCGATCAAAGCGATACAGACATGCGCCATCAGCCAGTCTGGAATGTGCCCGCTCCTACAGCAGCTGCTCCTTTCACTGAATTCCTCAAGCGTGGGCCCAAAGATAGGGCGCAAAACCATGTACGATGTCTCTGGCGCCTCTGTGTGCTGAGACCCCAGTACATATGACCCTATATGCAGCGTGGTCACTTCCCCGGCCATTCTATGGATCTCCTCTACCACCTCGACTTCTCTCCGCACCTTCTCTTTCTCCGTAGACATCTTGACCACTACGAGCTGCGGTAGCATCTCTATCTGCCCCGAACGTAGTAACGATGTTCGGTTTTCCTGTATATTTTGGTATAGCACGTGTCCAAGCCTCTCATACTCGAGTAGACTAAGTTGCTGCTGTAGGCGTTCGTTCCCAGTCATCTTCCCAAACGCCGCCAAGATTGGTGCGCATCGGTTTGAAAGATCTTCGTCAATGTCCATTGTGGGCTCAGAAGAGGAAGGAAGAGTGCGTGGAAGACAGAGATATACCCCTGTACTTGAAGAGCTTTTTGAAAGAGTCTTCACTACACGAAATACTGCGCCTGGCGGTCGCGCCACTGTAGGAGTTGGTTCCGACATGATTTCTTTGGTGTTGAGAATCTTCACGGTGTGGAGTCAGGATTGGGAAGTTGGCAAACGAGGGGTGGGTGAGAGGAGAATTATAGATTGCTGAATTTACGACTATGATAAAGTTGGTTTGCGGGGTGAAGACGGAATGAGGTGAGGCCCTAGTGATGGTGAATGGGAAACATCTGACCAACTATTGTGGGTTGCGGTCCATAACATAATGGCTATTGTCTGTTTGCTCCAAGTATCCGCTACATGCAACTTGCTTCACATGTATCACCGATCTAGTTAACCAGAAGCTGACCTTGTGCGGCCGTACTCTTTCAACGACTTCTCTATCCTCTCAAACAAACCTTCACGCCACCCTCCAGCTCCATCTTCCTTATGACCGACGCCGTAGTCAAACTGCCATGCCAATATACTCTCTGCCCTCGCTCCATCTGTTGCCTCGAGAGTGCCCACTGCTACATCAATGAAGCGCGGTCTCGTGCTCACAGTATAGAAGATAGTAGTAGAGCACGTATTGCAGAAATATCGATGCACACCAGGCGACGATTCGTAATATACCAGAGAGCCAATTCGTGTATCCTTGCTATTGACCAAAGCAGCCAAGTCTTGCATGTTTGATGGAAATTCGTTCTCGTCCGTAGAGACGGGGAAAGAGATGTGTTGCAGATCTGCAAATGTCCAACAGAAGACGTCGTTTCCAGTATGTAACCGACAGCTATCGCAGCCACAGAGCTCGGCCTTCAGCCTTCTACTAGTTGGATCCACGTTCCAGGGTAATTGCTCAGTGGCGACATTATCGTAGTTGCCGCGATTCAGGACGAGATCTACGCCTCGGCATTTACATCGAATGGGTATGGCGTTTTGTCGCTCCGTAATTGTATCTGTTGATTTCAACTGCAATTGCCAATCATCTGCCAGCTCTTCTGCACTATCGCCTCTAGTTTCGGTCTTGAAACACTTCAAAGGTGGACCGGAAGCATTGATATACTTCATCCATACGCTTGCGCCTCCATCTTTTGTATCGCCTATGAATCCCATGTGCGACCATTTCACCACTTCCACATCGCACGCAAAGTTGTTTAGTGCGCCCGTCACCATGAGCAGCGGCTTCGTCTCATCTTTGAAGGCGCCAATCATGGGAGTAGAGCATTTTGCGCAGAACAGAAGGTTGAATGCTGGACTGAAGTTGAAGAGCTTGTAGCCTGAGAGGTCAACTGTAGAGCGTGGCGAGGGCCAGTACGCTAGCGAACTGTAAAGAGAGCCCGACACATGCCGACAAGTGTCACAGTGGCAGATATGCGCTTTCAGAGGGAGACTGAACTTGGGGATAGTGGTGATATGAACGTGTGTCTTGCAAAGACAAGATGCTGTCAAAGTGATTGTATCGTCGGTCATATCGGGGGTAAAGAGGTTTGGAATTGTAGAGTTGAATAAAGTGGGAGCTAGAGTAGCCGACCACGGTATCGAAAATTGTAATTGCTATATTTGATTGTAATTAGGCATCATCGTATTTTCTTGAATACGGGCAACGTCATAGGGTTGGGAGATATTGGTCAGCATTGCGGGGCTGGCAAACTGACGTCTCGTACCTCGCATTCATGCACAAGGCCACAAAGATATGTGATCAGTCATTTTATGGTAAGATTTGGCAAGCCCAGTATGCATCGCTACGTCTTCACAACCCGCATGACGTCGAACAAGCCGACTTTCTGCTTTTCTGACAGGCCATCTTTCAATGCGCCAGTTACGTGCTCGCTGACTCTTCCACGCTGGTTGCTAACAACTGTCGTCTGCCCTTTTTTGAACTCGCATGTCCGGCCTGTCGTTCCCGAGATCCACATCTTAATAGCATTGAATGATGGGTTGTCCAGAAGGTTTGTTCCGTATGAGGAGGCCCACGGGGCGTCGACTTGCCAAGGTTCTAGACATTCACGAAGATCTGCTGAAAACGCTGTGACGACGATAAGCTGCCGTTGCTGTCTTGATGCAGAAGCACCAGGGGCTAAGCTGCTTTCGCCTGCGCTTGGATTCTTCAGTTCGTCGACTAACCACTGGAGGTCTCGCTCGTGTTCGGCGTTGTGCTTCTCTACACTCCAGTCTTGAATCCCATCGACCTCGTCAAACTCTGGCATCTTGCGCAAAGCAGCGCTTGCATCCGACTTTGGAATCTGACTCCAGAGAGTGCACCCTAACAGTGTGATGTTCGTTCCCGGCACATCACTTCTCGTCTCGTAGAGTATCTCCAACCTGCCTTGTGTTGCTGGCTCTTTTTCCAGCTGATGTGCTAACTGCAGGCCTTCCATCCATCCAACTCCATGGAATTCGAGTGCCCCAAGAACCAAGTAGACTTTCTCATAAAGGTTACATCGCCGTATGAGAAAGGCGAGATATTGTTCATAGTCAAGTAGGCGGCCAATATTTCCAGCGAGGATTAAATACGGCGCTGCTACTGGTATGTGAAAGGTAAGATACTGTGATTCGTGGTCAAGGTGGAGATCCGAGAGAACTTGGAATGAAGTCTTGGGTCCGGAGAAAAGGCCTGACAGCCGCCGCATCTTGGAAATTTGCATATCAGCCTTGTTGTAGATTGTTGCGTAATCCAGGGCCAGCCAATAGGATGAGATTATCGCGACTGCGATGGGGACCGTGGAAAAATATGTATGGGTATGAACCAAACAAGAAGAAGGAGAAGAGCTGAAGAAAGCGGGAATTATACTAGTCTACTGCGCACAAACGAACGGGATCGCGTAGCTCCGTCTGATGCGCAGCAGCTGAGAAAGGCTGAGCCTCAGAAAGCTGACAATGCAGCATCGAAGCCTACCGCATCTTCTCGCACATAACGGTGCAGAGGCCTACACCGCACAACAACAACAACAACATCCATCGCTGTCAACCCTGTTGTGTCCGAAATTAGATGCAAAGGTCCTCTTATGTTGCGTTGTCAGTGTTGCGAGGCGGTGGCTGTGGGAAAAGAAGGATCCCGCGAGCGACTGAATTAGAATCTGCCTAAGCTGAGTTGAGATGGCGGCCTTTGTCAGCTCCACCATCTCCGCTCACCTTGCTTGTTAGTCCTACTCGCTACGCCAACAGTAATGCATGCCATCGTCAACTCATTTGCAACGGTCCTGCCGTCTTGGGATCTTTGATTACCTGACTCTCGTCCCACCCGCTAAGCAAAGCCTTCCGTCATACAAGCATCAAGCCTGCCCGTTCAGTCGTAGGTAGCTAGCGAATCTGACTTTGACGAGCCCTAGTGGTGGGTATTCTTTCTTTTTCTTTTTCTGCATAGTTATACGCTCATGCGACATCCCCTCTCCTCTCTTAGTTGCCATCTAGCTGATTTACTTTGCGCGTCAAGAGGACCTTGCATTGCGAACATACTGCAATCCATATCAACAAATTGGGAGTACCAAACTTCCCCTCGAAAGTACGAGTCACGTGATATACACTCTTCGCTTTGGCTTGGTATTCCCCTCTGCCTCGGTCCCGGGAACACAAAGTAGCCGCCTTTCGAGAAGCCGAGCGTATTAGGCGCAGACACAAGACGCGGAACATTCCTATGGTTCCGCGATATTGGCTTGGGACTCAAGAGCTGAACATACGTTATCCGGTTAAATGTACGCTGTCTTTGCACATCCCCTGCTATGCAGCTTACCGGCTGGTTCCAAGTATCCTTGCAATGACATCGATCTTTGATCCCATAAAAATCTTTACGTTTGGCGTCCTTGGTTGATTTATTCAGATAAACTGTCTTTAACCTACCCCCAATATCACCTACAATTTTGGAAAGGATTTGGTAAGACTCCAAACCTACTACAATGGTGAGGCTGAAGTCTTAATGCATCTAGCGTCTCACCATAGACGGGTCGAGATTGCACCTGCGCGATCTATCAACCTGGGACCTGGAACCATTCAACCAGTAATGGCTAAGAATAGTCTTGCTGTATGCATGCCAAGTATGAGTTCCAGGTACTCGTTCAATATATCACTGCATCTGCTTGAAAGGCTACACCGGCCCTTTTGACCGTCGGGAGAATGTTTGCCAGGTGACTTGTGTTTGTACTGGGATACAAGTCAATTCCACACAGTCAATTCGAGGGCATGTGGTTGTGGTATGCGCTAGCGTGGAGCGTGTCACACGTTCAATTACCTAGCGCATGGGAAAGCTAACGAGAAGGGGGGCAAATCAAGTTCGTCATGTAACAATTCCTCAGACTACGCTAGAGATTTGTATTACACACCAGACTCAAAAAAGCATGTGTAATTTAAGTCAGGTATTACAGCAGCTTTCCGCAACTAGTTTTACCTCTCGTATCTGAGGATCCGCCATCCAGGCACAAGTTACCTTCCCCTTTGCTCATCTGGCCAATGATTTAGGCTGCATATCCCGCTCCGCTGTCAGCTACCATGCGACTGGAAACTATGTTTCTTCCTTGACCATGTGGTCAAATACCATGCAACTAAAGTGCGGCAAAATCGATAGATCAACGCCACGAGGGCCCTACGGCATTCATCAGGCCAGGTGCAAAGCCGAGGGTCTTCGTATTCATCTATTCCGAGTGTCTAGAGCTCATGGTGGCTTTGATAGTCGAATTTCAATCTAAGATGTCTAGCAAATCATCTTCGATTCTGGTATGCGTAGGCTGACTTTGCTTTCGAACTTGTACCCTGGCATGGAAAAAAGGTTGATATAAAAGCTGTTGTGATCACAACATTGTATCGATCCAGAGTCGACATCATCTTTTATCCATTCGTTTCAACATCATAAACCACAATGAAGGCTCTCTCCTACCTCAGTTATGCCCTTCTGGCATACATCCCCCTGGCCGAAGCTCACCCCGGCATGGGTGACACCATGGCCGAAATGCGCTACCTAGCCGCTCGGGAAAAGCGCCAGACTTCCAAAGAACTCATTGGCGATCTCAAGACTCTCGCAGATTCTAAGCTTACAGCTATCGGCAAAGACATCAAAGCCATTATCCTGGACCAGAAGTCTGCCGAGTCCACTGTCATGGATACATCGATCCCAGTTGGCAACATCGGAAGTGCAGCTTGCAAAGCTGATTTGTGTTGCCATTGGAAGTGGCTCGCATATGAGATGACAGCCAAGTTTAACGGTACCTCCGGTCGTTGCAATAAATTCGCCCGTCAAGCTGTGCGTCTGGGCTTCCACGATGCAGGTGTCTGGTCGAAGAGCAGTGGCTACGGTGGTGCGGACGGCAGTATTCTCCTTAGTGATGAGATGACGAGAACCGACAATAATGGGCTTGCAGCCATTGCCGACCAGACAAAGAAGTGGTATACTAAATACAACCAATATGGAATGAGTATGGCAGACATCATCCAGTTCGGCGCCAATGTCGCGACTGTCGTTTGCCCGCTCGGCCCCCGTCTCCGCACCTTCGTTGGCCGCAAAGACAACAGCAAAGCGGGCCCCACTGGTCTTTTGCCTGGGGAGAAGGACTCGGCAGATAAGCTCATCAAGATGTTTCAAGACAAGACTATCGACGCCCATGACCTCGTAGCCCTGGTAGGCGCACACACCACGTCGCAGCAGCACTTTGTCGACACCAGTCGCGACGGTGACCCACAAGACTCGACACCCGGTGTATGGGATATGGCCTTCTACCCTCAGACCACCAACAACGCTCCGCCTCGTGTCCTCAAGTTCCAAAGCGATATCAACTTGAGCAAGGACTCGAGAACAAGTACATCCTGGGCGCAGTTCAGCGACAGGGCTACTGCACAAGGAAGGTGGAATTCAGTAAGTATTTTCAATCATGCTGTTCGAGAATCCAAGCTGACAGAATGATCAGGACTATGCCAAAGCCTATACGCGTCTGTCGTTACTCGGTGTCAACAACATCAATGATCTCAAGGAATGCACCGGTGTCCTGCCTGCCGAGCGCAAATCATTCGTCAACGAAGACCAAATCGTGCTGGATAGGTGGCTACAAGGAGAGTTTGATCAGCTCAATAACTTGGTGGATGATGCTATTCAGCTGACAGGTGTCATTTCGGGTAGGGACACGGAACCGTAGAGTGCTCGCATCGTATCATTACGTATGAGAAATTGCTGGTTACGATATGTTTCATGTAGAATGAGTGCTCTGCATATCCTAGATAGAAAGCTTTGTAGCTCATTTGCGCTCTTGACTCTTGAATCGTCAGTCTGCATTGTTTGTTCACCGAACTCTTTTGTTGTTGCAGCCTATGGACTGTGCAGCAACTACTCATGTCCAGGATCAGTGAGCAAGAGGAATCCTTGACATTATACTTGCTCCTGAATTTCCACACCGAGTTGATCGGACAGAGACTGTACGATAATAGGTAATAGGCCGCGAGAGAAACACGCCAAGAATGTGTGTGGAAAGATGGTTTGGCAATTTCTGGAT